TTGTGTAAATAATACAAAGTTTTATATTTCATCAAAGATTAGGAGGAAATATTGGATTCCGTTTGAGTTAGATCATCAGAAGTGTTGAGAATAATAGACATACAAATATAGAGTTTTTCTTTGTAAAATATACCCTATAAAATTGAATACAAAGATATATAAGTGCTATAAATAGCAGATGTAATCGTAACTATTATTCAATTAAAATAAATAAGTAGAATGACGATAGAATGGGACTATTATTGCCTTATTGAAGAATAATTCAAACCAAGCTGCCGATAATAGGAAAATTAAAATATCAAGGTGATTGTAACAGTTAGGATAGAAATCTTTACTAGATTTCCGACGCAATACCTCAAAGTACATAGACTAGATTTTTTCGGATTTTCTCGCGTAAGATTTGGCATGTAAGAACATATGTTAATTAATGAGGCATGTAGAAGAATATGCCCGTGAATCAGTTGCTATCAAAAACCTTACCGAAACATCGTTTTTGAAATAGAAAAAATAGCAAAACTTATTGAACGGACTGGTTTGGAAATCATCTAGTAGGCGAAAGCAAGACTGGTCGTATACTTTAAAAATTCGGAAAAAGCGACTCTAGAGGCCATTAAGGCTATGACATGAAGGAATGTAATTAAAATAATATTGGATAAAGGCAGAATCAGCAAAAATTGCGTACTGCTTTAGCATAACCATGGAATATAGCGAAGCATCAAGATCAGCAAAAAAGAAGAGAGCAGTATTTATTATATAAAGAAACGAACATGAAATCAAGAAGGCAAGAGGAAATCAAGAGAGAACGCTTGCTGGGATTCTAATCAAATATAATAAACAATTATAAGATTTTGGTTTGATACACATAGGAGTGAGCATAGAGCATAGTTTAATGTACCATGACAGAATGATATACGATACAAATGATTAGTAGAAATACACATAAGTGATGAACAGCATTCGCCTCTTTTGACGAATTGTACTTTGTTGCTACGACTACATATTCCTATTGATGAGGCTAACCTAAAAACTGATGAGACCTATAGCATGATAATATGTTCACTTTTTGAATAGGGCAACTACCAGTGCAAATATTTATACTAAAGGAATTTGGACAGGGTGCGTTCAATCAGGTCTCGGATTATGCAACTCTATCATTATGTAGAGAAATGTTATCACAAGTGAGGCTCCAATAAACGCCTTATGCCCTCTTTAGTTTTACACAGTATCCAACTAGTCGGCGACTTCCGAATCATTTACGCCACCTTACCAGCCTTCTTGGTTTGGCTGCTCATGTTCATCAATTTTTAGAAAGGAATATACTTACAATCCTTTGTATTGCCAACCTCTAGTATTGTCCGCCAAAAGATCTATATCAATTTTTAACTCGCATTCAATAGGCAAGGAATATTATTTCGGTTTTAGAATAGGTTCTGTATTAAGCATTGTCAAAAAGGAATTACATTAAATTATACCCACTAGCATCCGTATCAAATGTGCTTAGCAGTTATGTGTAAAATAAAGACTACACAAACTGTGTTCAATTTTAATTGGAGGAACAATTATTGATAGCGACATATAAAGAAGGCGAAGTTTAGTAAGGGCGCATGGCCTAAATAGGCCTAAGTATATCATTGCAAGTGAATAGTTAATCACCTCAATCGACATAAGGAGACTACGGTTCTTGTGTAATTTTTATTTATTAACTCATACATATAATCATTACGAATAAACGAAATGTTACACACTTAAATGAAATTCATAAGCTAGCCTTATCAGCAATCAGTACTCCTTCATCCAAATTAATATACAAAAGTGAAATAAGGTTTTAATCAGCAACGATTGCTATTCCCCAAATTATCTTCTTGCAAATACGGGTAATGCCACCGAATGCAATGAAAAAATTATTTTTGGAGCATCTGCAAAGAACTATACATCTGACTTTGGCGATGTATTTGTAGCCTATAAGCTCAGTTTATATATTTATTTAAGTATTATGCAGGAGATTTAAAATGCAATTTTGGAGAATGTATTGAACATAAAGCATGCTTTTTAAGAAATTAGACTAATTGGCATCCATATAAACAGTTCTACACTTAAAATTATGATATAGAAGTAAATATTGTACAGTGCTGAGTTTGCATATCAGATTAAATAATACATTTATATATTTGCATTTAGCAAAAAATTGATATAAATTTACAGAATTATTTCACTTATAAATAAGAAAAAATAATAAACTATATAAGCAACGCTAATTTAACGTTTAGCCGTACGCATCTATGTTTAAATATTAAATGTTGGTGATTTCGTAATGTAATTATTTATTACAATTCTAGATTTCTGATAAATGTATGTATATATTTACATATAATTGGTAATTACACTTAACCCTTGGTTAATACTCATGGGTCTACGTGACCCTGGAACATTTTGAAACAAAATTTTCGCAAAATAACTTTTAGACAACCCTGCTCACATG